GCCTTATACAACATGTACCCTGGAGAAGCCAGCCACCAAGTCAGAAATCTACATATACTGAGATGGCCATGTTGTAAGGAAGCCCAGGATAGCCATGTGGTGGGCCATGGAGGGAGACAAAATGCTCAGCTAGTCCCCACCTGTTCTAGCCATCCCAGCTGAAGCACCAGACATAGGAATACACCTGAAACTCTGCTGAGTCTTCAGATGGTACTCCAAACCCAGGCACAATCTGACACTGACTGCATGAGAGACCCCTAGTGAGAACCCTCCAGCTGAGGGTCCACTGAACCAGGAGCAGAAATAATAAATTACTGTTTTAAGCCACAAGCTTTGAGGTAGTTATGCAGCAATAGATAACTCCAAAGGGCAGCCACCAAAGACAGCTCTAGGTTCAAACATTTCCTTCCCCACCAACATTACAGATATGTCAGTGTCCTTGGGCTTTCCTTCACACACACTCTCCAGTAAGGTGTGCGTCTCTGCCATTAATGAAATTTTGCCCTGTCCGTTCTTCTGCACCCCTACAACCACCCAAAGTCAGGAAAGTTGCATCTTCATCCTCAGGGGATCACTGTCATCTTGGCCGAGTCCCTACACCCTCTGAAGCTCAGGCTCTTCTCTCAAAAATGACTGCATATTTTACTTTTCAATTTTGTTTAGTGTGTGGCAGGCAACCTTTTCCCCCTCCCTGAAGTAGAACCCAATATAGAACACAAATACACGAGAGAGATAAAGTGAGAGGGGTCTAGCGGAGGCAGGAGAGGCTGTGTGTCTGAGTGGTGGGAAGAGGGAGGCTGGTGTCATAAGACCTACCTTCAATCACCAGCTCCCCCACTCTCTAGTTCAAACCATCCAGCTGACTCCTCCAGAACCTGATGTGAAAACCACAATAAGGGATGGTCTCAGAGGCCTCCTTACCTCACATGTGATCTGTGACATTAACCATGCAGAAATTAGACATCTACTTTAAAACTTTGGGATTGATTTTAATGTATTCTTTATGGGGCATCGTGTATTTTAATTTTTAAATAATATGGGGCTGGAAGAGTTGGGTTTTTTGTTTTTTTTTTTTTAACTGCTTTTGCTTTCTCATAGAATCAGACTTAATCCTAGTGTGTGCCAACCACCACCTATTCTTATCGTAGCAAGCTCCTACCATTTTGTCCATTTCTCTAAACACGGGTGCTAAGCTTGGTTAATGCTTCATCCCTAAGAGAAAGGAAGAGAATACTTCAAATTTTCCCATCTGCAGTATAACCTGACTTGGAAAATACTGGTTTACAACCATTCTATGTGGTTTTTCTTTATACCATTTTCAAAAGCCTATAGAGTACGAGATTTCATGCCATACTATAGCTTTCCATTGCAATTTTAATAGCTGTACTCATCAGGAAATTGCCTTTCATATCAGTAAAGATCCCCTTCATATAATGCTTCTCAACTTTCATTCTTAAAACTCTATTTAGAAGTCTTAAAATCAAATTCTTCAGTGTCACCGTAGGGCTCGCTGCTGAACTCTGTTTTCCCATTTTCTCCTTTGGATATTGAATTTAAATTGAAAACAGGAGTGTTCTGATCGGTGCTCATGAAATTCTTTGACTTAGGACACTAATACATTGAATATTATGCATAGTTAAATTATTACAGGTTATACCTTGATAAGAGCATCAGCTACCTTTTTAAACATGTCCTCAGACAACAGGCACAAAATCCCAAGCATGTGATGACCCTTGATATGTGCCTATATTGGTTAATAAGTACATAGCCTGTCACGTGGTATGAATTAGGTAATTACTTGACCCAAACATCACCCAGCAGCTTAGGTAATTACATGATACCATCATCTTCACTCAAATTTCCAAGCTCATATTTGAACTCTGCCACTGAGACTATGGACAGATGTACAGTATATCTGATCAATGTCAAAAAGACAACAATTTCGATCCATATTCCAAGCTGTTAAGTAGAAGTCTTCTACCTCCTGAAAGGTGATGGATTAGGCACTTTCTACTGGACCTGGCTCGGAAACTGGAAAAAGTAACAGCTAGAACTCCTCTTTGATATTAGAAACAAGAAATGATGTTCTGAAAGGCTAGGAGGAAGAAAAGTAAAGGGTGTTTTATTAGAGAAAATCAAAGAGCCCCCTAAAGTATATAGTAGGCATACTCTCAAATCTCAGTTTTGTCATACTACAGTGAAATTTCCCCTAATGTTTGCCACTACTACTTTTTAAATACTGCATTCCATTTTATTGTAAAATAGCTCCATGAATAAACAAATTAGGAAGCTGTTTGACAATGTCTTTTAAACCCAGGCAAATATTACTATGTAAAATAATGTTTTTTGCTTGCTCTTTTATTTTTTTAAAATTTTATTTGTTAATTTGACAGAAAAGGAGAGCACAAGCAGGGTAGCTACAGGCAGAGGGAGAAGCGGACTCCCCATTGAGCAAGGATCCCAATATGGAACTTGATCCCAGGACCCTGGGATCTTGACCTGAGCAGAAGGCAAACACTTAAATGACTGAGCTACCCAGCCACCCCTTACTTGCTCCCTTCTAATTCCTCTCCACTCTAGGAAAGGCCTATGTGCTATTTTCTTGATCTGCCCGCCTTCCCATCCTCCTTCCCTCCTTTCTCACTTAAGACTGAATTATTAAGTCTTCATCCCACACACTACAGAACAAGTTCTAAGGTACTCGTGTGCTCACTAAATGAGCTCTAAGCCCATGCTGAGGAAGTTTTGAACACTTGCTCTTATTCAGGCATCCAAAGGAGTCTGACTGGGGTTTCTCAAAAGGTTAAGCATGTGACTACCATCCAACCACCAATTCCACTCCTAGGTATTTACCCGGAAGAATTCAAAGCAGGGACTCGAACAGGTATTTGTACATCAATGTTCACAACAGCATTATTCACAAGAGCAACAATAGCAGAAATAGCCCAACTATTCATCAGCAGGTGAACGGATCAACAAATGTGGAATAGACATACAATGGAATATTACCCAGCCATGAAAAAGAATGAAATACTGAACAGGGAGTCTGCTTGAGATTCTTTCCCCTTTTCCCTCTGCCCTCCCACTCTTGCTCTCTCTCTTTCCCTAAGATAAATAAATCTCTTTTTTTTCAACCAACATCTTCTTTCTTTTAACTTAAAATCAATTAATTACATATAGTATATCATTAGTTTCAGAGGTAGTTTAGTGATTCATCAGTTGCATATAACACCCAGTGCTCATTACATCAAGTGCCCTCCTTGATGCCCATCACCCAGTTACTCCATCCCCCCATCCACCTCCCCTCCAGCAACCCTCAGTTTGTTTTCTACAATTAAGAGTCTCTTATGGTTTGTCTCTGATTTCATCATATTTTATTTTTCCTTTCCTTCCCCTGTGTTCATGTTTTCTTAAATTCCACATATGAGTGAAATCATATATTTGTCTTTCTCTGACTGACTTATTTCACTTAGCATAATACCCTCTAGTTCCACCCATGTCATTGCAAATGGCAAGGCTTCATTCTTTTCGATGGCTGAGTAATATTCTCTGTATACATACATCACATCTTTATCCATTCATCTGTTGATGTACACCTGGGCTCTTTCCATAGTTTGGCTATTGTTGATATTGCTGCTATAAACATTGGGGTACATGTGTGCCAATAAATAAATCTTTAAAAAAATCTGGGGGTAGAAAGAGAGCGCACAACCTACCAGGCCAACTCTCATGGAATTTACGTAAACATTTTTCTTTAGTTTTATTTTGCAAGTGTCAAGAGAATCAATTTTGGAGCAAGCAGGCTACTAAAAGATGCTTTTGTTCTCTCAGCCTAATCATATAGCTAATAAATGGAGAGGGGAAAAAGAGAACTTTGGAAGAGCCTTGATCCCCCAAATTCTTGCAGTTATCTGAAAAGGTAGGTGTTTTATTTTACACACACCATATATGCACACATATACATACATACATGTGAACGCTACGGTTCCGTAGTCTTCGTCATTATTCTGAAATCTAAAATCAATTTTAAGAGAAAAATGAAGGACTTGCAGCCCCAGAAAGAGCACAGAGTTGGTGATTCCTCCCCCACCCAGCCATGTCATGAGCTACTGTTGCCCCATGTCATTGTTTTAAAGTAAATGTGGGCTTCCAGCAAGTAAAACTACCCTTATTCTCAACTACTCTGGAGAAGTAGAAAACCACCAACACATGCTTCACTTGGTGTAATACGGGCATGTTTAGAACGACACCTGGAACACGGTAGCTCTCAAAAGCCTGCGCCATAAATGATGTTTGAAATGCAAAACTTCAGATCGATTCACCACGTTCGAACCTCACCAAAAAGCTGGAAGAAGAGGCATTCATTGTACTTCGCGGGGGCACAGCCCCTGCTGAGTTGCTGAGGAGGTTTTGAGGGTGCCTCCCCATCCCCACCCCATGCCCGCCGCTAGCCCCTGGAAGGGTTCACCAGACCACCCCTAGAGACAACCAGGTCTCACTACCTTTGTCACTCAACTGACCGACTGATGAAGCCCCACGGAGCAGTCCCCAATGAGGCAACATCCTGTGTGAATCATTTAGGCCAGGCCCCAATCCAACCCACACAGCACATCTGTGTGCGAGAGCGCCTCGCGCAGGCGTAACCATTTCCTGGAGCCGCAGCCGGGCCACCTGCTTCTCAGACCCCCGGGTACCAGTCCGGGAGCCAAACAGCCCCCGACATCGGGAGGTTACATCTATGGAGCCTAGTTAGACACGGTTCCACCCGTGTGGCCAATTAGCTGCCTCCCCCCCGCCCCCAGCCCGGACTAGTTCAACAGGTTTCCTCGAGCGCGTCTCGGGCCTCCCAATTGGTGCAAGAGGCTGTCACTCGGCTTCGGCCCGCCCCTTCCCGCCCCTTCCCTCCCCGGCTCGCACGCCTGAGCCGACCAATCGCCGCGGGCCGGACGTGTCCAGGTTGGCGGCCCCGCCGCGCCGGGCCGGCCTGGATGCGCCGAGCCCACAAGCGCACGGGGACAGCGTGGGGAAGGCGCGCTTCGCAGGGCCTGCGCCCCGGACGCCGGCAGCCTCGGGCGGACGCCTGAAGGTGCCCTCCACAGGCGGCCCCGATGACCGAACTACAGCAAGATGTGGAAGACACAAAGTCTGCCAAAGTGCTCGCGAAGAGAGAGAGCAAAGTGGGTTCAGCCCAGTGAGTATGCTCCGCGGGGACCCAGCCCCGGCGGCCGAGAGCGCGCTGCCCAGACGTCTCTGCCGGGGACCGGTTTGGAGTGGAACTTGAGCGGGGACGGACGGCCCTGTGGCTTGAATTCTTTCGGTGGCGCCGGGTCGCCTTTTTTTCTCCCCTTCTCCGATGCTGTGTTAGAGGAAAAGGCACGGTAGTGGGTCAGGAGTGGGCTGCAACTTGCAGTCCCGTGGGGATGTCAAGGATTGGACCCGAAGGCAACGACTGGAGGTTGGTCGTTCCCGAGGGACGTCTGGGGCAAGCCGTCAGATCTCTAAGGCCGGTCAGGAAGCAGCAGCCAACATTTGTTTCTGTTGCCCTACTTCTTAGTGACGTGTGGGAAGGTGAAGTTGCCTCATAGATGTCATCTGGTCGTTAGCGTCGCGGTGATGTGTGTTTTGTCGTTCGATTCAGAGCTTCAGGGTGTCTTTCTCCCATCCCCTTTCCTGTTTCCCCTCAAGAGAGGGGGAAAGTGGCGGAAAACATGGACTATGCTTTATCTTTCTCCTTAGAGACTGTCTGGCTTTGCTTGGGAACTTGACACAAACTTCTTCAACACTTTTTTTTTTTTTTTTTTTTGAGAGAGGGTCTAGGAGTGGGATGAGGGAACACAGGAATATATAATAATATAAAACACTTCAAATATTAGGTTCTGACTATCCTCTTAAAGGATCCATGTTCATAATAGGATTTGCGCATTGTTGGGCCTGTAAACGCCTATGGTTTTAGAAACTGAAAACTGAAATATTTTGGTTACAAGGATTAGCTTCCTGTAATAAAACTTATTTATCTTCCCTGTATAGCTTTTTTTTTTAAAAGCTGCAAGTATTATTTCCATGGTTATTATCCCCAAACCTTCTTGTTTGAAATATGAAAAGAATCTTTCGTTATTTGCTTCTTTTCTATATCACTGTAACTTTTTTTTTTTTTAAGATTTTATTTATTTATTTGACAGAGCTCACAAGTAGGTAGAGAGGCAAGGAAGAGAGAAGGGGGAAGCAGGCTCCCTGCTGAGCAGAGAGCGAAATTTGGGGCTTGATCCCAGGACTCTGAGATCATGACCTAAGCTGAAGGCAGAGGCTTAACCCACTGAGCCACCCAGCTGCACCTTTATCTGTAACTTTAATGATACTTATAAACTATAACTTTAAATGATACTAAGATAAATATATAAATGTTAAGATGAACAAATAAACCTCAAATTTTTTTTGGTACCAACCTGTTGGGCGGCACCTAAAAAATAGTTAGATTTCTATCTGCTTAATTTCAACATGTACTCGTTTTTTTATGACACAGCCTGGTTCCACATAAAGACTTGTGTTTATAAAAGCATCTTCCATCAGTGTATCAGAGTTTGGGCTGAAGTTTTGGAAAAGGAATAGCTTTTATTAGCTGCTTTGATTTGTTATTTCAAAGGCTTTGGTTGTGTTCTCTTCCAGTGTCTGCTTTCCTTGGCTACCCTTTCTTCTGCCTCTCAGCTTTGTCAACTTAAGCTGATACTCTTTCCTCTTCAATGATAGATAACACTTGATTGAGGAAAAAAATCCCATAGGTATAACCCTTAAAAAATGTTTTTGTTTTCTTACCTAAAATAAAATCCTAACTCTATTCTAATTGTTCAAGCCCAAGAAAAAGGTAAACTAGCAAAGACCATCTATCTCCTTTGCACTTAATCGTTCTTTTATAAGCTTCTCTTAAAAAGAGGTATACGTAGCATTTTAAACAGCCCTTGATAGATGTTTGAGGTGACAGGAGTATTAAGGGGCACAAATAAGCCTGGAGCCCAGGACTGTGACCCCCTAGTCCAGGAGTCCGCCACAGGCAGTGTTATGTTCCTGTTACACAAAGCGGAATGATTCAGGTCCACCCAGCAGCTCCTAAATTTTTACATCTTCACATTCCCAATAGTCTACTCAGTTAAGGATATCGTTTTAGTAGATTGAGAAAGTCTGTTAGCTGTTTAGGTGAATTCTCTTAACTTAAAACTCTTCAGATGTTGGCAAACTAATTTTATAGAAGATAATCTTAACCATATTGAAGCAGAAGAACCCAAACAGCCGGACCTTTGTTTGGAACACCTTCGTTTGACAAATTCATTTCAGCTCAGCAAATATTGGAATACCTACTCTTGGCTCCATAATGGCGGGGAACGTAGAATGAAGATGTTGTGGTATCTGCCCTTCTGGAACCCAAGAGCTGTGTTGAGGAGACGCATACATATACAGATATTTCTGTATTTATCTGTATGTATCTATTACTGAAGTTCAGAGGACATTGGGGTCCCTGGCCATATTAAATCCATGAACAAGATAGTTCTATAAAAAGTTTGGCCTAGGGGCGCCTGGGTGGCTCAGTAGGTTAAGTCTCTGCCTTCAGCTCAGGTTATGATCTCAGGGTCCTGGGATCGAGCCCTGCATCGGGCTCTCTGCTCAGCAGGGAGCCTGCTTCCCCTTCTCTCTCTGCCTGCCTCTCTGCCTACTTGTGATCTCTCTCTCTCTCAAATAAATAGTCTTTAAAAAAAAAAAAAAAAAGTTTGGCCTATAACTGAATCCTCTCCACAGTTAGGATGTTTGCCCATTTGGCACTCTTTGGTAAATTTTTCTAGGTTTATGGAGATTTTTGTTTATTTTGTTTTGTTACAAAGTGGTAATTTCTAGTCCTGTTGTAGTCACTTCTGAGTCAATCGAAAACTTTAGACACTCTCTACTTCCTGAGCATTTGAATTCTTGCTTTGGTAATGGAATAAGAGTGATTTTTAAGAGGGAGATAGATACGTTGTCAGTGTTACATGCATTATGATTATTACATATCCGAAATCATTTGAGGAGCAAAATTTTGATGCTTAGAAACCCAGTCTAACTTCTTGGTTTTGAACTTTGTAACTTAGATTAATTATCACTAAGCTCAGAGTCATTGGAGTCCGAGTGTCCCGATGGACATTTTCTTCTCTAGTGTTGAAATGGCTTGTCTTCCTACACAGCCCTTATCACCTAGAACCTAGGTTCGTAATTGATAATAGCTGGCCCTTACTGAGAATCCTTGCTTTGTGGCAGGCAGGGTGCTTAACACTTCACGTTCATTTTCATACAGGATTAGGCACATACTGTCATCTCCATTTTACAAATAAGAACATGGAAGGTCTGAGAAGTTAAGCAACTAGGCAGAGGCCTAGTTAACATAGAACAGCTCAAATTCAAGGCCAGGACAGCTCACTCTAGTCCTGAACTTGAATACTTTATCCCTACTTCTGTATTCCAGAATCTCTGATGGCCCTCCATGACCTCCTCTCCTCTGCCAAGAAGTTCAGACCTTTCATGATCTGAGCACACATAAACCATTTCAGTCTCATTCCTAATATTAGCATGCACATCTTTATAGCTAAGCAGTTGCACTAGTGGCCCTGTAGTTAGGAGGTGAGGATGCGGAAGAATAAGAAACAGATGAGCCAAATGTACTTCTGAGTTAGTTTCCCTTCACTCCCTCCTCACCTCTGTTCTTTTCTCAAGCAATTCCCTCTTTTCTTTGTCTCCGTGTACTTCTACAAGTCAACTCAAAATTTCCTTTCTTGAAAGCCTTTCCTTGTCACTGGCCATACTTAGCTCTCCCTTATCTGGGCTCACCTTGCATGCATGTGATCAACCCCAGAGAACTTAGCTGTCACTATTATTGCTGTTAATTAATAATTAATGTTTATTGGACATTTATTATGTACAAAGTACTATTTTAAGTTGTTAACAGATACTAACTCACATACTAATCCAGGACATATTAGCAGACTCACATCATATTTTTTCTTACTGATTTTCTCAGAGTGCCCAATGTATAATCTCTTCCAATGTCTGTCTCTTAGTGAGTGAGAGAGGCTGACACCCCAGCCCTCTAATTAAGGTATATAATCTACTTACTGATATTCCGCTTGAGTATTTCCAGGGATATCTTACTTTTAAAGTTTCTTAATCAAATTTTCTGTCTGTAGCAGTTAGAATTTTTAGGTACCGGCCCAAGAATTTTGACTTAATTACTTATCTTTGTATTAGCAGTGAGGTGAGGCTGCACATTTATTCATCACCAAAATGCATTAATTTAGCTGTATATTTCCTTTGAGATCCTAGTTTTCCCCTTTCAGTACTTTTTTCATTCTGAATGTTCTGTTCCCAATGTATAGACATTTATAACAAACCTAACTTTTTTGACACACATTTTCTCAGATACACTTCAATTTCATAAACTCTCTTGTGGATCTCATTTATTAATGGCTAAGTTATTTTCATAGTTTTTTCTTTTTTTAAGATTTTATTTATTTATTTGACAGAAGGAGAGAGAGCACAAGCAGGGGGAACAACAGGCAGAGGCAGAGGGAAAGGGAGAAGCTGGCTCCACGCTGAGCAAGGAGCCTGATGTGGGACCTGATCCCAGGACCCTGCGATCATGACTTGAGCGGAAGACAGACATTTAACTGACTGAGCCACCCAGGTGCCCAGCTAAGTTATTTTCAATGAATTGCAAAAAGGATCTAAATTGACTGATATATTTCTGGGAAAAAGTTTACCTTGATTCATATTTCAAATAATGAATTTTATCACATGTAACATATTTTTAATGCAGTTTTAATTTTTAACATACTTTAATAATTTGAGACATAAGAATTCTAGACATTTATTCAACTGGATATATATGGAGAAAGAGAGGATGGATGTGGACAACATAAACATTTACCTCAAAAGGAAACTCTTGTATTAGCAAGAAGTAGTAAAGATTTTAGGAACATGTTTGACATTAGTGAATTCAAGTAAAAATAAGTGACCTGCCCCAAAAGCATTTATCATACAAACAGAATAAGGGTTGGAGTTAAGACGTGGTCTTGCTTTGGAGGCAAGAGGAGCAAAAACAAATAATGTTTGAGGATAGCTTGATTTCTTAGTGCTTGTTTAATTCCAGTCTTCCAAAGTGCTCATTTAGAAAGAAAA